CACTACCTTTTGCCTGTAAAGATTTTTTTGTATTTTAGGAAACTGCCAAATAAGGAGTAATTTTGTAATGGAGGACATGGAATTACGAAAGTAGGGGTAACAGAGAAACATGTAAGTCAGTATCTCGTGGACAAAACTTTGCTGAATCACTTGGTAACACACAGAAAAGTGTAGTGGATAAAGCTGTGATCTCGTGCAGGCCTGACTAGTATTGAACTACCTTTTTTCTAGGGTTTCTTCATTGATTCCTGAAAAATACTCAGTATTTCACTGTGTATCATATATCAGTATATGCCTGAGATTGAGACTGAAGTTAGTGGCCTACAGGAAGGCAGGAATCCACAAGATATGAGAGTGACAAAGCTTCCTTCAGAAATGACTCTTCTGTGCCCCTCCACACGGAGCCTTTTGAGTGTCCTGTGCAAAGCAGGCCAGGTCTCCTGGTGACATCATGAAATGTGAGATGCCTATGAGCTAGTCCTTGGCCATGCTGGAGCTTTGGCCACCTGTCTGTCCTATGCTTGGGAAGATATTCAGGATGTTGACAGGGAAGAGTGGCACTTATCTACTAAAGCTTGGCAGCCCAGGGTGGTGTGTTTTCCAAGGGACCGGAGCAGCTCCCAGTGCTTGGTTGGCTGAGCACCACTTTCCTCTGGCTCCAGCAGGAAAACCAGCATAGCTGAGCTCACTGGCTGGTTTCAGGTTCCTGATTTGTTTAGTCAGCTCCTGGTGCTTTCATACTTTCTGGGTAACTGCTGCCAAGAGTGTGTATGGTTTGCTTCCATTGTGGTCCACCCCCTGGGCTGGGTTCTCCTTGATACACCTGACATCAGGTTTGAGCAGCTCACTCTCTCATCACTAAAGTTGTTGATACACTGCCCAGTAATTTTTTGTTTGTTTGCTTGCTCTTTAAGCTTCCTCGGTGGAAATGGTGCACAACTGCCTGGGTTATTGGGTGCAAATATCCTGCACTGCTGGACACGTGCCAGGGATGCAGAAGCACATCTCCCAGGGTTTATGGTTCACTCTACTGTTGGCTTTTTTACAGCCCAGAAATCCCTCAGTTGAAGATCAGGGGCTACCAGAGGTTATTTCTCTGGCATTCCACAGTATTTAGATCCTTCATCACCTTTCAATGCCTGTGAGCAGTGAGTGGTGCTCTCTGTACCCTGTCTCAGTTTCTTGTTTCCAGAGGCACATGCAAACCTCTCTGCTGTCCTTTGGCCCCAAGGATCCTGATTGATCTCTCCGTGTAAATGGTGTGTGGCTTTGCTGAGATCGATAACTGTGGCTCCACCCGTTGGCAGGACATCCAATCAATGGCAGTATTGTAAAAGGAGGTAGACAAAGCTCCTAAGTCTGTATCAGACTATGAGATCACGGTTCTCCCTGGTGGGAGAGGCAGGAAACAAACCCTCAGTCCCAGCAGAGTGCACGTGAATTTTGCAGCTCTGCTGTGAGTTGGATCTGTCAGCGTGGGACAGCTGAGGTTTGAGGGGAAGAAAGGTGTTCCCTCTGTGTGTGCACTGCTAAATAATACAGAGAAGCAGAAAAACAGAACCTACAGGTGCATCTTTTTTTTCAGTTCAACCTGATGATCAAGATACTATAACTCAAATATGTGTATTTTGGATCCTTTTAGGCACACAACAGCAAGCCAACAGTTACTGAAAGATAAGGGAGTAGTAAAGTGATCTTAGGCCATCTAAGTTGTTTTCTGTTGTTGGGTTTTGCATATGTTGGTTTTCTTTTGGAATTCCAAGAGTTACAGTGAGGAAATTATATGATATAGATCTTGCAAAGTTAAGCTTTCGTAGTGGTCTTGAGTGTCAACACACTGTATGCACATCTCAGGGATGATTGTAATTCCAACCTGGAAGATGAGAAGGCAATAAATGGTAGGATGCTCTTGTTCCTTTTTAATGGGAAACTATTTCAGCCATGGTGATGGAGTTGGCAAATGTTTGGTTTAGCACAAAAGAAAAAGGAGAGTAAAAGAGATTGAAATGCATAGTCATGTAGGAAATAAAAACTCTAATCAGTAGATAATCATAAAAGTAGTGAAAAACTTCTCTTATTGTGTTCTTAAATTAAAATGTGCAACATGCACAGGTATCCCCCAATCTACTCAATATTTTTTCTAGAGAAGAAAGAATCTGTGGAGTTGTTGAGGTAACATGATTTGCTGTTTCCTGGAATAATTGCCCACAAACATGTGAGCTTGTCCCCTGTGTTAAAGTAACAAACTCTTGGCTGTGTATGGGTGGTGATCCCAGTGATGGATGGTTACAGAAATGTCAGATTTGGATATCAGACACACTTGTCCCTAACAGCACTTGTGGTTTTCTCCTCCTGTGGATTACAAAACATGCTGACAGTCTTCAGAGTTGCTAATTCAGGCCTTCTGATTGCAACTTCATGTTTTTCTTCATCTTACAGTTCTTGGAATGGTGGTTTCCTGAGAAAAACAAGCTCGTAAGACTTTGGAACAGTCTCTCTCATGGTTTCTGTGTGTGCAGAATTGGCAGACCAGCACAGTACATAATAAGAATGAAGTTCAATCTGTAGTGGTTTTATAACCTATGTTTTTAAGAGTCTGTAATCATTTTTCTCAAAATATATAAACAGAAATCTTTGTAAAGCTCTTTCCTCTGGCTGTACCATGCTGTACATGTAATTTGGGGATTTTCAGCCACAAATACAGTAACAGTAACAAAATATATTTAAAGCCCATTAGCTTCAGTCGTGTTTTTTCTGAATGATTTTTCAAAAATCATGGTGCTGATCTTACATTGAGATCCATTTACACACAGCTCTCATTGAAGGCCCAGGACCTGCAGTTACTATGATTCCATTCTGTGTCTAATCACACTCCCATTTTACATAAAATAAAGGTAGGATTTCAAGGTCAGCAATTTATGAATTAATAATAATATTTGTAAATATCTTCAAAATCCTATTCCATAGGAATTTGAAAACCTCAAAAATGCAAAGATCTGGAGAGTTTACCCTCTGCAAAATGGATGGCACCACGAAGGATGAGGTACAAAGTTGTGGCTGTGATTTAAGAACCTGCACTTATTTGCATTGTAGTAATTTGTGCCCTCTGACCATACCTTTTAAATTCAAGGAGTCTGATAATAGACACGAGCAAGAAAATACAGGCAGGTATTTCAAACAGCATCTGTAGAGAGAACACTAACATGTAGCTCTTGTTGAAAGATTGAGTCTGCAGAACTGGGATTTTAAGGAGAGATACTGGCAAAAGAATCAGGCTCATCTGATCTGCACAGGGAAAACGTCAGCCTGAAGGGAAGCATCTTCTAGAACAAAATCTACATTTCCAGAGAACTCCCTTAAACTGAAACAAGCTGCAAGATGGGCTCGTTTCTTACAATGTAAACTTGGGTGAGATGTTCTTATTATGCTTCCACTGATGCAAATTCGTTAAATAGCAATGATAATAAATCTTGAGAGATTACGTGTATAACAGAATATCAAATGATTGTTTGTGGTTTTTTAAGACTCTGAGATGTGCTTGGCATGTAGCTGAACAATCATTAATCTTTGCTGACAGCCTGGTTTGTGTCCCTAGAACACCACATGGCATTGTCCACTTGGGGGGTATTTTTAGGCAGCTTTGTAGCAGATGCAGTGGCACATCCCTGCTTACTCCCGTGATGGGGGTTACATTCCCAGCAGGAAACTAGTCCCAGAAATGACAGCAGTGCAAGGCACAAGGCTCAAAACTCTGCTTTAGTGGGTCACCTGCCAAGAACTGCACGTGGGTAATACTTTAAAGCTGCCTTTGTCTCCCATTGGGGACTCGCCTTGTGTGCGAAATCTCCCACCCAGGGAATGTGCCAGGAGTTGGAATTAATATGCACATGATCCAAACAGTTACAGTCACCTCCTACTTGATACTGCAGATTCCTAATCCTCACACATGCACTATTCACTGCAGCCATGAGGAACATTAAGTGTATTTTAAGGAATATATTCCAAGAGCTTAGTTGTGCTGCTTTGAAGATGAGCAGCAATCTTTGTGTTAAATTTAACAGGAGGAGATCAGGCCCTATGACTGCAAAAAAGTTATTTTTCTAGAAACTAAAGTAACTTAAATGTCTGTATTAAACCATTTCCATTGAGAAAAGTACTTTTATTCAGGAAAGATGTAGCATTTTATCTCAATATGGTGTTTTAAGACCTTTACTCTCTATTATATAGTATATGTGCAAAATAAGTACTGTGTATAATATGTATATAATTACACATAATTATAATAATTAATATTTAATGCTAACACAACAGATAATAAATATACCAATTACCCGAAAAAGTAATAGTTATGGGAACTGACATAATTCAGTTAACATCAAAATGAATTTCCCATTGTTTCCAGCAGAATTTCCCTAACTGATGGCCTCCCCTTGGGAAAACAAGAGACCAGGAGGGCTGGATCACAGACCTGCAAACCAGGCTTGGGCAAGGAATTCCTCTGGGAACTTGGCAAGTGCTCTTACTGTGAATACAGGCAAAGAGGACACGTAATTTAACAACTTTGCTATCCGTCTGTATGAAAAAAAGATCTAGTGCTTTTCCTGCTGGTTTGTGCTGCCCCTGTGACACCACTAATGCAGGTAGGGCAGAGTCAGCTTCCTGGCCATTGCAGCAGGAGCAGAATCATTGATTGTGCTTCCTGAATTTCTATTAATTTTCATATTGAAGTCAGCAATAGTAACTTTTAATAGTCAATGGGCCAGGCTGACAACTAGTAAATAGAGAGATCTGTATTGAAATTGTAAAACAAACATGGTATAAAAATCAGAGGAAGCCCCATTGCTTTTCTCCCAAACACCTTCCAGAGTAAAAACCTTATTTCAGCCTCTCTGCTTGTGAATTGCAAGAGGTGGAATTTGTGTGTAATGTCTAAAAATACTTGTGAAGGAATTTACCTGAATTGTGTGATCAGTGCTGATTACACAAAGAAAGCCTTCTGCACACAGCTGGTCTGCCAGGACCCAGGAGGAGGACGGGTGTGCTCAGAGGGTTCTGTTCAGGGGGATGATTGCAGGCCACCATCCTGCAGGGAGCCATCCAGTCATTCCCACCCTCACTGCTTGGCACTGTGCTGAGCCATAGGATGGGGCTGGAATGAAAAACTCCTGCTGTATGTTGGGTTCTTTTGGAAAAGAGAAGGATTTCTGCACAGACACTCTCTGGAGTGCAGGTGAGCACCCTGATGCTCCACAGTGTCACTGCAGCTTCTCAGCAGCTCTTGCTGGGCCTGCCTTGCTGCTGTTGGAGTCGTTGAGGTCTCAGCATTTCCTGTATTAATGTCTGTGCCACAATTGCTAATTGACCATGAAATTTTAGCCTCCAGTCACACATAAATATCTGAAGTCATTTTGTTCTAGTGAAGTAAGTCTTCTTGACCACCATTAAAAGCTCTGACTTGTGTAGCAGGGGACATTACTGAAAATTCATGGTTGTTTGCTTATTATTCAAAACAATACCCTTGCTTTCTGACATAACATAAGGGTAAATTGTAAATTTATTTCCTACACAGTGGTTAAAATCCATTGTGTAGAGAGGAGTTGTATCCCAGATGAATGTATTCCTATGCTGCCAAAACAGATTTAAATCTGGTAGCCAGTAATTGTTTCATCTAAAAAAAAAAACAGCAGTCTTTGTTAGAAAAAAGGATATTTTAAAGACATTAAGACTTGGGAGCTGTAGCAAAACAACTGAAGAGGAGATACTTTTCTGTGCTAGTAGAAGTGATATAATATCACAATTTGTAAATTCACGAAATGCATCTTCTAAAAATAGCTCTTACAAGAGCTATAGACCTCTCTCAAGTGTAGGATTCTGCTGTTGGATTTGCCTTCCTTGACCATATAAACAGCAGTACCCCTGCTCCTCTCCAAGGAAATCTGTGGTTTAACTACACATGCATCTTAGCAGAGACCAGAGACCCAAGTGTGACAAATAGGAAATTGCTCTCATCTTACAGAGTTTGATTAAAGCTTTAGGCATAGAGCTTTTTAAATGACAAATGCTCAATGAAATAATATTATGTCTTTATACTCCAGAGCACTATTAATCTGAGGTTTCAGGACCTTAAGAAATGTTAATTAACTCATTACCATTGATGTAAAGTATTAGCGTTGCACTCATCTCGTGGGCTGGTAGCTGAAGCATGGAAATACTGGGCTCTTCAGGAAGAATGAGATTGGGGTTCCCTCCCATGTGTATTCCCTGTCAGGTACTTACAGAGATGTTAACTGCTCGTGCACTAGTGAACTCCATGGATCTCCCATCAAGTTAGCCCAAAAGGAGCAGGAATAATTTTGGGAGAGACTGAACAACTGCAGTAGTACCCAAAGCAGGATGTTAATGCAGCCTGGATATTTGGGAGCCCAAATTTGATAGCTAAGAAGCCAGGCAGTGCTCTAAGGATTTGAAGATTTGCGGAATGTTCAAGGATGTTCAAGGAAAGAACAGAGACACTGTTGGCTCTTCTGCAGAAAGGTAAAGGTTTGCATCACCTTAAATATATTTTTTTCAGAAAGCTGGGGCCAAAGCACCGCCCCGGGGGCGAACAGCAGAGCCGGGACGTTCCGAGTTCCTGCTCGGGACCGTCGGGCAACTCCCGGGGCAGGGGCAGGGCAGGTGTGGGGAAGGACAGGACGGGGACAGGGCAGGGGAGGGAAGTACAAGGCACGGTGTAGGGAGGGACGAGGACAAGGCAGTGCAGGGCAGGACAGGCCGAGGACGGGGCAGGGACAGGCCGGGGCCGGGCCGGACAGGCCCCGGGCCCTCCCGCAGGAGGCCAATCCTCGGTGCGGGGCCGCCACCTCTCGGCCGCGATCGGCAAAGCAGCGGCACCACCGGCACCGCGCTGCCGCACCCCCGGCAGTCTGCACTCCCGCAGCCCGCACCTCTGCACTCCCGCAGCCCGCACCTCTGCACTCCCGCATCCCACACTCCCGCACCTCTGCACTCCCGCAGCCCGCACTCCCGCACCTCTGCACTCCCGCAGCCCGCACCTCTGCACTCCCGCATCCCACACTCCCGCACCTCTGCACTCCCGCAGCCCGCACCTCTGCACTCCCGCATCCCACACTCCCGCACCTCTGCACTCCCGCAGCCCGCACCTCTG